TACATAAATAAGGGTGGGTGTCAAGGTCACCTGAAGGTCAGGTCAGGTCATTGACCTTTCGTGACCTCGGGTGACCTCGGTTCACTTTTTCGAGTTTTACATGTTTCTAGGCTAGTTTTTGGAGCTGAATTCGAATTTAGCAACCATTTGAACATTTACGAAGTAGGGTTTTGGTGACTTCGTAACATGTTACGAAGCTGTCAGAGGCGGTTGACACGTACTACGAATACCCGTCACGACGCCTGCTGGTTGACCTGACCTGACCTGACCCGACCTGGTCTAAATGCTTAAAGACATCATCTGTGATCAAAACTAACACGATAGGTTTTCGTGATCAGCACCCCGAAAAACCCCTTAGCAGCCACACTTTACGATTTTCTAACAGGTCCCGATTTTCCCGACTTTGGGTCATTGACCTGACCTGGAAGGTCAACCTATGACCTAGGACCTTACAACTGGGTATCATCGGCTTCCTCTCGTCACGGGCAACACGCTCGTTTTTTCCACGAAGCTCTAGCTCGATCAGGGGCCAAACGGCAAGGGGGGGGGGTCCAACCGTGAACCGACCCCCTCCTACACATTAGAAGCTGGCAAACGCCGCACACATGCGAGGGTTAAGAGATGTCAATCGGATACCAACGTTTTTGGTATAATGAAACCAAACCATTGTCATCCCGGTTTAGTATCGGCTTTCCAATGATTTGGGATGACCATCACTGATGGGTAATCCACAGCGAAGGAGGGCTGTGCCTCACCACGGCCTGTATACTGGGAAACGCGTCCATTTGGACCACGGCTCTGAGATCTGACCGGTACGGCGGGCCGTTTACACCTTCTCTCTCTCTCTCTCTCTCTCTCTCTCTCTCTCTCTCTCTCTCTCTCTCTCTCTCTCTCTCTCTCTCTCTCTCTCTCTCTCTCTCTCTCTCTCTCTCTCTCTCTCTCTCTCTCCCTCCCTCTCTCCCTGGCTCCAGTTGCTCTCTACCGGTGTTTCTGCCGACTGAACACAGAGACACGGAGCTGATCCACGGCCGAGTCAGCCGACGGAGACATGACACCGGGGGTCGGGTGGCTGGTGCTCGGTGTCGGCGGTAGACAGGGGTCAGGGGGTCAGCGGGGAGGGGACCGCTGGTGTGGGGAGGGGAGCGGTAGTCGTGGGGAAGTGATACGGCGAGAGACCCTCTTACGTCTCAGTGCATGACAGGTGGCGAAAAGTGAATAGGCTTGAAACTTCGAGTGAACTGTGCATTAGCTTCGCCACGGGGGGCAAGCGGGGCAGCTTGCCCCCCCCCCCCCTTCAACCTCGGACCGGACACCCCCTGAGTTCGATACAGATCCGATGAGATTTTAGAGTCGGAAAAAATGGGTGTACCTTTCTGAGAATGCCTGAGGTCAGACTCGGTTGGATCGTGCAGTTCAAACCAGAGTCAGAGTCGCAGTCGCCAATATCTTCAAGACTCCGACTCCAGACTCGGAAATGTCAATGCTGTGATTCAGGGCCTCGGCTAAGGAATTTTGACTGGTGGGCCACTTGGGCAGCGACATGGACTGACCTTCGTAGCCATAGCCCCCCCCCCCCCATTTTCGATTTCTCCCCAGATTTCGGCCACTTAATTCTGCAAAAAACGTCAGGATGGCATTAAAAAAATGTAAAAAAAAACGGGGCTCGACCCCCCCCCCCGACTCTTCAGAGAGAGAAGAGAGAGTAGGGACCCACAACCCTCTCAGTGGTGATACTCCGGCGGTGCACATAAAATCGCACAAGTATGCACAAAATATTGACGCAGATTATAAAACTTTGGACGATAACTTACGGCCGGTCGGATGTTAAAAATCAGCGAGCCCTAGGATCGCTCGCCGACTAGTCGGAGATTCCGAAGCGGTCGGACGGGATCGGGCGTTGTCGGGTGGATCGGGAGGAATTGTGAACAGCACAAGTGCAACTTTACGTATAAAGTAGGTTGTAGCAGGAACCCCAAAAGGGGGTTGTAGCAGGAACCCCAAAAGGGGGTTGTAGCTCAACATCTCTAAAAATGATCATTAAGCCTATTGGTGTCGCATGGAAAAAAAGTCACTCAAAAGCCCAAGCGCACTGCGCAACCCTAATATTTTCTTTAAAAAAACTAAGTTATGTACACTTCTGGTGAACAGTGTCCCAAACTTCAGATTTCTCTTGGGTGTCTGAGTGGAAAATTCTGGCCACCCAAAATGTGAGAGTGGAAAATTATCCATTCTTATTCTTGAGTGTCATCTTCAGCCCAAATGAGAAATTTTTGGAACGCTGACTGTGAACGGTTCGAAATTCGTCCAACTGGTCAGATGTGTGAGTGCAAGCATCATACCGTTCGTGAAGACGCATAATATCGCTTGCAGATTTCAATCGGCTGGAAGTTGCCGACACTACCTTTAGTTTGACTCTGGCTTATATCGTGTCTATCGGCGAGCCGTCAGAGATCGCTCGCAGGCTTATCCCCGACCGTCTGAACTGGTCTGTTCTTTATTCGTAGTTTTTCTTGTAACCGACTGGTCTGCGGCAGATGCTTGTGTGACTGTAACCACTCGATCGATCGGAAAGCTTGCAAGAACTCTCGCAGACGGCTCGATCGGCTGGAAGCCGCCGACACTATCTGTAATTGACAGAGGCAAACGTCTTTCACGATTATTGCATAAAATTTAAAGCCTCGGTCACACTTAAACGGATTGGACCAACGGACGAGAAACGGACGAGAAGTGTCAGCGTCCGGTGATGTCCGTTTGTTTCCGTTGGACGTCCGTTTGTCATCCGTTAATATCCGTTCCATGTCCGGTGATGTCCGATTGAGCACACAGGACACCACCGGACATGGAACAGATATTAAACGGATGAGAAACGGACGTCCAACGGAAACGAACGGACATCCCCGGACATCACCGGACGCCGTCCGTTTCTCGTCCTTTAGTCCAATCCGGTAAAGTGTGACCGGGGCTTAACCTACGGCTGTCTCAAGAAACCGGGAATGTTGATGGTATTGGGCGGGCAACGACGATCAAGTTCTTACTTTTAATAAATGCAACAATGTAGTAGGGCCTCTGTCTCTGTCTGTACCACAATGTTACCTATGTCGTGATGTAAAATGTGAAAACTTATTTTTCAGAAAATTACTGGTGGGCCAAATCTTTGAGGCTGGTGGGCCATTTCGGGTCACTGGTGGGCCATTTGGCCCACCAGTTAACATGTTAGCCGAGGCCCTGCTGTGACTCATTTCATGTTCCTAGTTGGTTCTTTGTTACATGTTATAGCTGATTTTCATAAGTTTTGGATTGCTGACATATAATTTTCGTTAAAAGCGTGACACGAAATATTCGCGGCCTTTCTCAACTCTTGTCAAATGTCTGCGACAGGCTCAAGCACCGTTCAAGTGCCGCAGGGCTCATGAGCTTGCTTATCACACAGGCTCCTAAGGAGCTCAACTGAGCTCTAAGAGGCATTCAGAGTGCCCAAACCGGCCTCTGAGAGTCCCACTGGTGTCCATGTTCTCTGAGGGCCCATACAGGGATCTTTGAGGATCTTACACATGCGTAGACCTCTGAAGAGCCACACGAATCTTCGAGGATGCCTTCGAAAATTTCGACCTTTTGAGGCGATAGACTTTGCTAACCCCAAACCGGCATCTGAGGGGTCACAACTCACGTGTCCCTCTGAGGGCCGCAACAAATGTTTATGTCCCTATAAGAAGCAAATCCTTAGGGATTTGACGCAGACCCCGATGGTGCATACATTATCCGAGGGCTCCCTGCTCACACTGGGCCTAGTCTCTTAGCGCCCGCCGCCCACACTGGCTTCTGAGGGCCCCACCTTGGGCTCGGAAAGCCCTTAAGCACCACACGCGCGTAAATATGTGGGGTGACCCACGCCGATCTCCGGGATCCTAAGCAGGCTTTTAACTTTTAAGAATCCACACTGACCCTGAATGGCCTGCAATGGCCTGGAAGTCCCAAGCCTAAGGGATCCTTTGCCGCTATGCCGTGTTTCATTTTTGGTTCCGTTAAACATTTTTTGTTCGCGTTTGCAGCGCGCTTCCCGTCACACGAAAAACGAGAAACTTTTTGTTCACACTCGAGTGAACAAAACACTTCCTCTCACTGGAGCAAAAATGAATTATTTGCGATTCACACTTCCGACATTCACTCTCAGTCTCCGCCGAATGCCCAACTTAGCTACAATCGGCGGCTGGGATAAGCCCAATGCATTTCACGTAAAACCTCTGCATGCATGCATGAATGGAGGTTTTAGCAGGGTGATGCGATTAAATGGAGCGTTTTTCACCTTTTTCTGGGTAATGATCATGAGCGACGAGGCTGGACAGGGGCCCTCTGTAGTGCGTCGCGAATCGCAGCCACTGTAATTTTACTGTTCGTTTTTGTCTATAAATTTCAAAATTTCGAATTTTTCTGTCAAAAAAATGAAATGACATAGCTAGAAGGAAAACTTTAACACCATCGGATTCCTCGCGCCATTGCGCGTCGAATGATATGTAAAACGAGTGAGTAACGACTGGGGAAAGGCAAGATTTAACACAAAAGTTGATTTTGCCCCCCCCCCCCACCGAAAATCTGGCGACGCCTATGTGTTCAACCCTCCCCAGTAGGGCGTGGAAATTCAGGGCCGTCAGCGAAGTGCGGGTTAACCTGCGGGGTAGTGGGGGGAGCTAGCGCAGCGCCCCCATTTTTTACGCGCCTTAGCTTAAAAGAAAAACGGGACACAACAGGCACGGTAAATTTTGCTAACATGTAAAGAATTGACTGAAGTTCAGATAGACGAAACTTCAAACAAATTTGTCAAAGAAAGTTTTATGGATTGAGGCTTTAGTGACGTCATGATTTCGAGATTTTCGACCAATAACGGCGTGTGTTAAAAATCATAAACTCACAGAATAGCCATAGACACATGCCGTTAAGGCCATTAGACTGTTTCAGGTGAAACCGTTCTCTCAGTCTTATATACCGTACGTTCTCTGTTTTAGAAATGGAGCCCAGGCAGCTCCAAGAGGAGGTTATCCAGATGAAAGAACAGATGGCACTTCTGAAGGAGGAGCTGACACATCGCCATCAAGAGGGCATTGTCCGTTTGGATGGGGAACTGACCACTCTGAAGAAAAACTGCGACTCACTGAGTGAACAGGTGGTCGGACTGGAGGGAGAAGTGGCCACACTGAAGAAGGAGGTGACTACACTGAAGGGGGGCAACGCCACACTGAAGGGAGACAACGCCACACTGCGTCAGGAGGTGGTCCATCTACGTGGAGAGGTGATCCGCCTGCGGCAGGCTGTCCTCGAGGAGCGCACCACTCGCCAGGTCGTCGTGGAGGAGCTGCGGCAGGAGGTCCGCCGGCGAGCGGCGCCATCCGACCGTTCGCAGAGGTGAGACTGAGAGGCAGAAGGGGTGGCACTGGGGGTTAGTCGTTGGGATGACGTTAGGGGGTTAACAGTGGGAGTTAGTCGGTTTTGACTGCAAGGGATTGTGAATAGTTTGTAAGAGTCAAACTGGTTGTGTGCGTGTAGACAGTTTGTAAGAGTCAACCCGGATATATAGAGAGTTCGTTTGTAAGAGTCAACCCAGTTGTGTAGACAGTTTGTCTGTAGATATTGACCCGGTTGTATGGACAGTTTGTCTACATATAAGACCCAAACCGGTTGTGTAGACACTAGACAGTTTGTAAGAGACAACTCGGTTTTGTAGACAACTTGTCTGTGAGTGACTGTGAGGCAGCAGGCTGCTGGGTGGGACAGGGATTGGGGGAGGGGACACTAGATGGGCTTTCACAGATAGATGGTACGGTGCTGTCTTGGAAGTGGAGACTTCTGGAAATTATCGTCTAATGTCCGATCTCTGATGACGTCACACCACGTCACACTGACGTCATTCCTTCCCAGTGACGGCGAGGAGGTGGCTTCTCCGAAGGGCGACACTTGTGACAAGACAAGTGACACCATCAGCACCTATGACGTCATCACCCCAACTGCGAAGGGGGCGGGGCCGGCGGGCGGCGACGTGCGAGAGGCTGCACCGCAATGGGCTTCTGCCATTTGCCTCTTGGACCACGAGTTGTTGAAGATGGTGCTAAGCAAGATGGACTGCTGGGAGATGTTCCGCGCCAGGCGGGGTAAGTGCTACAGCGACTGACATTGTATGTAGGACAGTTGAATGGAGTGTATGTAGATCATGCTTCATTATGATACGCAGTCCTTCGTGGAATCATTCCTTAGAAACCGGAGTGCTCGGCAAGGGACAATCTATCACGCGAAGGGCTAGAACGGCGACAGGGGCTGGCACGGGATTCACACGTAGATGGATGACCGCTCGGAATGCTGTTTTTCATAGAATAGCTACTTCCTACAATTAAAGATGCAAACGCTGTCTGTACAAACATTGACGATCCCGGCAAGGTGCTTGGTGAAACCCAATTCTTTTTGCTCCGTCTGTGCCGACAGTCTGCCGTCGGTGGCGGTCCGCCGTCGACGATATCGTCGGCGACTGTCGGCGGGAGCTAACCGATCAGCAAACCCGCGGTGGAAAAGTCCCTGCGCCGGCTACGGACCTAGAGCTCGTAGTGAAGGTGCAGGACCAGCCGAAGCTGACTGAACTGCAGGCGCCGACCGCTGAGACGGACACCGACCTCCGACTGGTCGGTGAGTCCTGTGTGAAACGCGCTACACACGAACTGGTACGCTTTGTCCCGCTGCAACTGTCATTCCTTGTCCATGTGAGCGATCACTTCTTCACTGACTGGTGTTGCTTTATTCCAGCAGCCACCTGCCACGCCCTGGAGAAGGCCAACCTGCGCGGCTTCAAGCTGCGGGTCTCTGCCCTGCGCCGGCTGACGCGTGCCAACGCCTCCAGTCTGCGTGAGCTGACGCTGCCGGCCGGCATCAGCGACTGGCAGCTGGAGGCGCTGCTGGAGCCGCTGAAGGCTCTGGAGCGGCTGGATGTGAGCCCGCCCGTGGACAGCTCCGGCAAGTGGCTGCGACTGCTGCCCAAGTCGCTGAGGAGACTGGACATCACTGGTGAGAGGGACTGGGTGTCGGTGGAACGCGTAGGCGTCTAGCGCACGTTGCATTAGCACGAACCTACAGCACTAGATCTTGCGAACAGTTTAGCCTAAAAAGGAAGACAATGAACGAACTCTCCTTGGTGCATGTTTTGCTGGAGAGAGGATTTAGCAAGAAAACTGTTCAGTGGCGAATGTCAATATTGTTCTTTACTTCTGTGCAAATACTTCTCTTTTTGTTTGTTTATGAGTACATAAACGGGCGCCCCGCTGCCCGCTGGGGCTCCTGGATTTCCACGCCCTGCTGGGTGGGGGTGGGGAGGTCGTTTGAACACCCCCTTCCAACTCGGCTCCTTGGCCACGTAGCGATTTGATACGGAATGGGCATATTTTGAAAGAGCGTGAACAAAATAACGAGTGTAGCTATGACAGTCATCGAAACCTTTAATGAGGTTATGTCACTTCACGTGACCTGGTGACCTGAACCTTAAGTGACCTTAGTCTGTAATTTAAAAACAGATGCAGAAAAGCTTTATGATGAGGTGTGCCAAAACGGCGTCATTTTTTAGATATTCGCAAAAAACGGATGGGAGAGATGTTCAACTACCCCCCCCCCCGCCCCATGCGATTCTCATGCCACCCATAGGTACGAGCGTTGTTTATTGATAAGCTGACTCACATAGTGTCAGACTAATGTTCCTCCCTTTACACAATGTTCATAGGCGATCATATCCCTCTCTACAGGGTCGGGAATGACGCGGCAACCGGTGAAATACGGAAGATGCCCGTCGGAGGGACTGCTGGTCGGTGTACAGCTACCAACGGACACACTCCTGGACCAGCTGGCTGCTCTGGCGACCCACACAGTCACGGGACTGTTCATACCTGGTGAGCAACACCAGCAACACAAGCAGAGCATCAGTGCCAAGATATCGTGATCACTGAGCAATGGCTATGACATATGTAATGTAGGGAACACCTGGCTCTTATGTTCCACTTACTACTGCACTATAATATCGACTTGACCAAACGTAGCGCCTATCACTAGAAGCACCTATCGGCAGGGCTATCGTACTGGTCATGATAATGATTTGACAATATGCATACATGTATGGACTGTGGAGCCGCAGTCCATCTCATTCTGGAGAGCGACGGCCTGGATTACGTTCGAGGCTTGTACATACGCTGTTATGAACTCGTTAGAAGGATGGCACGCATAAAGCAGTTGCATCTCACTACTGCGCTTTTCTACCATTCCTTTATTACTCTCGCTCGTGCGTTTCCAAAAAAGGCGTCGTACTGGTTAGCACTACGCATACCTTGCCGTGAATGTTATTGATCTTCAGTTCCAGCTATTCCTAATTCCAGTTAGCATGTGTCATGTATCTCAGGGTTTCGGAGTCGTGGTAGCGCTTTTCCGACTCCGACTCCGACTCCGACTCCGAGCTCCTGACCGACTCCGACTCCGACTCCGACTCCGACTCCGACTCCGACTCCGGGCCTGATACGAAGCAATGAAAACGACACTTTATTAACCCGCGCCCTACTGGGGGGTGTTTGAACACCCCCTCCGGTGGCACCGTTTTCGGCACACCTTATCATCCATCTTTTCTGCATATGCTGTGTAAATGTCAGACCAAGGTCACTCAACGTCAGGTCACCATGTCACGCCAAGTGGCCTCACCTCATAAAAATTAAATGCCTGCCATAGCTACACCGAGTGGCCGATCACTTTGAAACTTTCAGCAATTGATAAGGATAACAGTATACGTACATGTAAAATGTTTTTTTTTTCGGAAATTTGATATCGGTGACCTAAGGCCAGATCAATTTTCCGACCTCTCCATTAAAGTCAATAGAAAAATTGAAGTGCACCTCTTTTGGACCAACGTCATTCTAAACACTTTCAAACATCGAATTACAAGTAAACATGACACAATGAGCCGGAAAATGGCACCCGTGACCCCTCGTTATGTCCCTGAAGTCATCTCGGGTCACGAATGATATCTAGCATGTTTCGCTAATATCTTTTGATAGAGGTACGCTAGAACGATGAAAACGCTTTAGATGTGTTCGGCTCGACGATACGGATCGACTGATATGTAACATGACCTTTTCCTGTCAGGCCATTGCCTTGACCTGAGGTCCAATTTTAAAGTTGACGTTTCGAGGTCAAATTATAGTTCATTCGATGACGAGTCTTGACGAGAGGAACACGATGCTGATAAAAATAATCTCGTGGCAAGTTTTGAGTCAAAAGTAATTGCAGAAAAACTGTTTCCGCAAAACACGTCTATTTTGACAGTTTTTGCCTCCTGCAGGCTAAACCGTTGACCTCAGGTCAAATATGCGAGAACTATTTAGAAAGACCGTTAGAAGAGCTATCGAATGCGCTTGTCCACTGAGCTGTAGCTCTATCCATTCCTGAGTTAAGCGCTGGTTTGTCAGGACTTATCGAAGTTTGACCAGGGAAGTGGCGAAATTTTACTTTCGGTGACCCCACCCCCCAGCAGGGCGTGGAAGTCCAGGGCCGGGACTCAGAACAAAAACAAGATGTGTGCAAAAGTTATTTTTGATCACCAGAAGGGGACTCTACCGCGGGGACCACTGGTTAAAAACAACTGAAAAGTGATATCACGGATTTGGGTAACTTCCCGGAGTCGGAGTCGAGGCAGCTTGACCGACTCCGACTCCGACTCCGACTCCTGGCTGCTTGCCACGACTCCAGGCGACTCCGACTCCGACTCCGACTCCGACTCCGAAACCCTGATGTATCTGTATTTATGTTTTACAGAGTCGCCGTCCGTGACACCGGAAGCGCCGGGACGCCTCCTGACTGCCCTCACCAGTTTGAAAGACGTCACTATTCGCGGACCCGGCGTCATTTGTGACACTGTGCTAGCCGCCCTCCACGGCTGCTCCCAGCTGGATACACTGGAGCTTGAAGACACCCGGTCTCTCACGGACATCCCTCCCCTGACCCAGTCAGAGGTGGCAGCGGTCAGCAGGTCAGTCGGCCGGACGGCGACGGCTGGTATTAGTTGTATCTGGTTTGACCGCAATAATCCCAGCGATAACCGTATCCGTTGGAGGTATACATAGGACTACTGGCACAGGGACGTTGAAAATGAATTCAATACAGAAGAATAGGCAGCCACCGACAGACACTTTGATGCAAGTAATTAAATGTATATGAACACAAACAAGACAGACGGACGGGCAGATACGTTACTGGGCTGGTACTATTTTAATATAATATAGAAATAATGTATGTGGGGTCAGGGGTGGCATAAAACTCATTGTATCGTGTGAAACATTTGTAGCAAACTGCAGCACCAGACTGGGCCAACTTGAGATGGCCGGAGGCACACATGTTCTGTTATGAACGGCATTGGAACTACATGGTGTTTCCGTGTCGAGTCGACCGCTGGTGCCACTGTGTGACTGTGTCTCGTAAACTCTTACTGACGCAATCTGTCTTGTTGTGGTCTGTTGCAGAATGGCAGTGACTTGCAGGAAACTGTATAGACTGTTCCTAACCACCTCACTCGAAAGCTACTCGGCCGTCCTGACCGCCCTGCACGAGACAGACCTGGGATGTGACAGTGGCCAGTCCCGTACCATCGAGCTCTGGGTCCCCAGTAAGTGACGGCGTCTCTGACCACCCACACCAGCCGACACGGCGCCACCGGCCTCTCGGACACACACTGACGCACGTGACGTCACCAGTACTGACGCCACAATTGGTGACGTGTATCTCCGTTAGTGACGTCACAGTATCAGTATCAACCCTCATGACGTCACTTGTCAGTGATAGGTACACACATTGTAATTGTGTTTGTTTCTATATCTGGAAGTGATGTCATCAGTTTGAGTTGCACCATGTAACATCACTAGCAAACAGTGTGTAATCTGACGTGTTCCGTTTCCAGAGTCTGTATACGACAAGCTTAATAAGCCTCCCAACGGCAGCAAAATCAGCCTGCAGTACTTTGGCTAGACGACTAGCTTCCCGGTACCTCGTCTACTCCGGTGCCGGTGGCAGTGTCGGAACTCGACAACAGATGGCAGCACCGTGTCTAGTCTAGTGTCGGAACTCGACAACAGATGGCAGCACCGTGTCCCGTCGGCAGCGCTGTTCTGTACACAATGCACGTCTAGACCTTCATATCCAGAAGTACTTCGAGCCGCCCTGTCCCATCGGCTCAGGTCCGTGGGTACTTTACCGCCGTGCCAGGCTGGTTTGGGTTGAGTGGCCACCTAGATGATTGATCATTTGAGCACAGATTGCTACGTTTGTTGACACCGCTTTGATAGACACTAGGTATATTCAGTATCCAAGATGTATCACGCTCCGGGGCCACTGTCCAGCCATCGGTAAACCGTTGTCACCGTGCCGGAGGTACCGCCGTGGTGACGTCACGTGTGTTGTGACGTGACGTCACGCTGGCTCACACCGCTGTGCTGTTGTGTTGTTGTTTCAGTTTAGACCAGAGAGTGGTTGTAGCTATCTGTGAGGGTGTCCGGTCCGGGCGATATCCGACCTCGCCCGTCACTGTGTCGGACCGTCGGTGGTCCGGTCGGCTGTGGTTCGTTTGGACCGGATATGTCCGGTTCGGTGTCGCTCATGGGATATCACGGGCTGATGGCGATTGAAATACACAGTGGTTCAGACGTTCAATACACAAAAGTTACTGGATTTCCAAGCGCCACTATGCAGTGCCGTTATTTCGTGACGGTAACTAGTCAAAGGGATTGTAAGGCTTCTGACCATTATGCAATGCTTTGAGCATAGCATTCCATAATGTCATAGGAAGTTGTGATGTAAAGAAATCACTTACTTGAAGTGACGTGGAGCTCTAATGTCGGGATGCTTCATAAAAAGTGCGTGCAACTTCAGATTGCCTAATATAAGTGTTCCGTGAAAATTAAGGCAAACCCAGAGAGCTATCAGTAAAAAGAAAAATCGCGTCATTTCCAGGAAATGCATCCCACAGGGGACGGGGGAATCATACTTTTTACCCTCACCACCGGCCCAGCACTTCAGTTGACTGAGCCGTAAGGCTGTACTGATTATCACACATCAAGTGTGTCTATGGTGATCGATGTGTCACCCAGCCCGTGCGCTGCGGCACAGCCTACCACTGCAGGCAGCTGACTGACCGCTGAGAAACGGTGCATCGTTCTGCCGTCAACTGTAGACTGTACAGTGTGTATTAGTTATATTACAGCTGTATGGACACAGCACGGGTACGGATCCCTGACACCATACCATCGACTGGTGGATACAGGACACGGTCTAGTATCCAGCGGTGCGATACAGCCGGTGGTCGTTATTTCTTTTTTTTTGAAGGCTACATACCGACAGTGGCCATTATCACTTTTAGAAGGCTGGATACCGCCAGTGGACACTATTATTTTAGAAGGCTGGATACCGCCAGTGGCCACTGTTATTATACTGAAGGCTGGATATCGCTAGTGGAGTACTATCACCGGCATGATGTCGCCAGTGGCCGTATCACATAGAGGGAAAGTGTCCAATAGGGCCTTTCGGTTGTTTTCTCAATTAGGTACTCACCTTTAAAAAGTGGCGAATATTGACGTAACGTTTATCACTCAGTTCTAATCAATACCTTTACCTGAAAACGTTCGTGGTCCGATCATTGACCATTGAAATTATGCATTGTTTAACCCGCGCCGGGCCAGGGGTGTTTGAACACCCCCTGCGGTTTTTCGCAGATATCTCAAAAACGGCGGCGTGAAGCGCCACTGTTTTTGGCACACCTGTTCATGCATCTTTTCCGCACATTTTGTAAAAACAAAAAATCAGACCCAGGGCTCTCAAGGTCAGGTCACCAGGTCAGGTCAAGTGACCTCACCTCAGAAAAAAAGTTTCAATCCTCGTCATAGCTACAGCGACTGAACGATCGCCTTGAAACTTTCAGAGATTGATAAGAGTAACAGTATGTACAAAATATTTATCTCGGAATTTCGATATCGGTGACCTAAGGTCAGGTCAATTTTGCGACCTCTCCATCATACTCTGTAACAAATATTCAGTACACTATGGCATGAAAATCAATCAAGCGAAAACGTTCATGACACCAAAATAGCTTTGCAGGACATCCAGCCATCTCAGATTAAGTTTGGACAGTGGATCATTTCTGAAAGCCGCACAGTTAAAAACATCGGCCTCACTATGGACCGACATCTGACGTTCGGAGATGATGTTAGCCAGCTGGTTGGCAAATGTACCGGTCTTTTATTATCGCTGTCCCATTACAAGCATGTCATACCTGCCGGACCGTTACTTACATTGTGAACGCGCTTGTGGTTAGCTCAATTCGCTTCTGCTGTACTGCATCTCCATCTACGGGTTCTGCGCTAAAACAGAAAAGCAACGCATTCAGAAACTGTTAAATTTCTGAGCTCGTGTTGTGAGCGGCCGGCACAAATTTGATCACATTTCTGACGGGTTTCATCAACTCGGGTGGTTACACGCTAAGCTGCTCGTGAGCTACCATAGACTTGATTAAAGGGACCCTCCCACCTTCAAAAAAGTTAATGAATTGGCATGAAAGTGATGTCCCTTGGTTCAGAAAGAGCGAAAACGAATATCTACCAAATTTCACCGAAAAATATTCACTGGTTTTCAAGATATTAGGCTTTTACTTTTGTTTACTTTTTGGGATCTCCCCTGTTACTAGCGACTTTATTTGGAAGCAATAATTTGGCAGCCTTAACCCTATTCCTGGCGGGCTCCGCCGGGACAAGAAACTGGCGGGGGGGGGCCGATTCGGCCCCCCCCCTGAGATCTCGAGAACGAAGCAAGATAGCGACAAGCAGTAAACGGCATCAGATACGCATGGACAAGGTCTACAATTTTTACTTAGGTCATTTTCAGGTCAGGTCAAAGATGACGTCACAGGGGTCGAAAAAGTCAAAATGGCGGCGCTAGATATGGAGAGAGTTTTTCTCGAATAACTTTCGAATTAGTCAAGATAGGAACAAACTAAGGGCATCATCGTGATCCTCTCGTCAATCCGCATCGAATGATATATATGTTGACCTCGAAAGGTCAAGGTCAAAGGTTGACCTCAGGTCACGTGACCTCGAGGTCATCATGTATATCGTTCGATGCGTCTTGACGAGCTGAACACAATGAGACCATCCACGCGTCTGTATCTTGTTCCTGTACGGAGTTATTGGCCAAAAACCTTTGGTGACCTTTGATGACGTCACATGACCTCACAGCTGCCCAACAGCAAAACAGACCTCAAGGTAGTGAAGGTTGATCGTATATGAAGTCATGTATGGTATATGGGGCCATTCCGACCCGTTTTAGTGGTAAAAACAGGGAGTTGATTTTTCCCCCATTGACTTATAATGGGGAGGTCGCGAAACTGACCTGACCTTAGGTCACCGATATCAAAATTCCGAGATATACAAATTGCACATACTGGTACCCTTACTAAAGCCTGAAGAGAAGAAATTGATCGGTCAAAAACTCTAGCTCTGGCGTGATTGCAAACTTTTCTGAGGTAGGGTCACCAAACCGCCTCTGGTGACCTGACCTGAGGTCAGATCAACTCAAAATTTTCAGACATGTTGCGTAGAAGCCTTTTAGGAAAAGTCAGAAAATTTGAGCTTCCTAGCTCAACGCGTTTGGGAGAAATAACCAAAAAACCTCAGGGGGGGGCTCCTGAGGCCCCCCCCCGCCAGGAATAGGGTTAAAGTGCGGCAGACGTTGCGCGCAAAGCAGCGTATACCACCACGTGTTAACGATGGTTTTAGTCTAAGATTTAAAACTCGTTAGATCTCCGCTGACGTCACAAATTCTAAGGGGGCATTCCAATGCATTAGCCCCTTAGAATCCGAAAACTGCAAGTTTGAAATTCCATATCTTCGAATTAAAGCATTTTTCGATGTTGTGAGTGCCCAAACCGGTATTTGCAGGCCATGGCCACCAATTTGGCTATCTCAACTCAAAACTAATGTTAAGGTGGGAGTGTCCCTTTAAAGTCTCCCTAGTTACTGAATTACCTGCCGACATTGCAGCCATGTTTTCGCATGTCTGTACTCCACAATCCTACTCGCCAGATCGGCCAGCTGCACTGCCAGAGAACAGACAGACATGTTCCGGCACCAGGTGGCTATCACACTACACTGCAGTGCAATGTTTAACCGGCTCCCGAGCGAGCTTAAATGCCTCTCACCGAATGTGCCTTCAAACGCCATCTTGAGAAGTTGCTGCTGTACACACTGGCGGATCCAGGCTTGCGTTTTGGGGGGGGGGGCAACTCATGCAGGAGCCAAACCTAGGGTACCCCCAAATCCTGTTTTCTCATCGGATTTAGGCCACTTATTTTTCGTCACAGCCCTGACACTATGATTTTTTTTTTAACTAAAAAGAAAAATATATAAATGGTAGCCCACCCGACCCATGCCTTTATATTACTTTGTAAACACTTACCATTGTTTTTATCGACCAGTTAAAGGGACCCTCCCACCTTAACATTAGATTTGAGCTGAGATAGCCAAAATGGGGTCCTTGGCTCACAATTACCGGTTTCGGCACGCACTCACAACATCGAGAAATGCCTTAAATCGGAAATATTGAATTTCAAAATTGCAGCATTTTGATTCAGAGGGGCTAATGCTTTTGGATACCCCTCTGAATGTGTGACGTCAGCGGAGATCTAATGATTTTTTAATATTTTACTAAAACGTTTGGTAGCATGCGGTGGTATAGGCTGCTTTGCGCGCAACAAATGCCGCACTTTCAAATAAAGTCGCTAGGAACAGCAGCGCATATCCCAAAAAGTAAACAAAAATAAAAGTATAATCTCTTGAAAACCGGTGAATATTTTTCGATAAAATTTGGTAGATATTCGTTTTCGCCCTTTCTGAACCTAGCGACATCACTCTTAGGTGTTGTTTTTATCCGCTGGGACTGAGAGCGAAACAGCCCTGTCTAACTCGGCTCCTGGGCCACGCCCTGATTGAACTATGCTTCATTATCGTTTGGGGGAGGGGAAAACGGGCCACTTTAGGCCTCTGGGAAGGGGGCATGGCCCTAAATGCCCCCTCCCTGGATCCGCCAGTGTAAGAAGAGACCATTGGAGCTGCAGTTGGGTACCTCAGACATCAGGGTACGCCCTCAGATGTATGTATAGGACTCGCATGGAGACCTCTTATGCTATAGTGTACTGAAAGGACCCAAAGGAGCCTGTCTATATGGGCTCCCGGAGATAGACGTGGGCCCTCAGGAGCCCGCCAGAGCCCCAATGAGGGATAAGTGAGGGATACCAAGTGCCTGCAATTGCATATTGCATAAGCCATAACGCCTTTACAAATCAATATATTATGCATCAGTGGCAGATCCAAGGGGGGCCACATGGGTCATGACCCCCTTGGTGCCCGGGGGCACCACAGGCCTGTCAGGGGCACCACCGGCCTAGTAGGGGCACCACCAGCCCGCCAGGGGCACCACAGGCCTAGCAAGGGCACCACGGGCCTGTGAGGGGCCCCACAGGCTTGTCAGGGGCACCCCAGGTCTGTCAGGGACACCAGAGACCTGCCAGGGGCGCCGCCGGCCTCGCAGGGGCACCATGGGCCTGTCAGGGACACCAGAGGCCTAGCAGGGGTACCACAGGCCTTACAGGGGCACCACCGGCCTTGCAGGGGCACCTTGGGCCT